AAACTAAAACCTAAATCTTAAATTTAAACTTTAAATTTAAAGTTTTTGTTCCATATTCAAGTGATGATGAATACCTCTTGAAAGAATAATTTACACTTTTTATAAGCTAAATAGTTTAAGTTGGTGGGAGAATGTGATTAAAAAATTTTTTTAATAGGGTGTTAGTGTTTTGACAAATCAAGATACAAGAATAATTTAAGGTGGCAATGTAAATATTGGTTAAGGGTTAGGTGTGGGTTTGTAATTTCTGTCTGTTGATACTGGCTTCCTTATATAACATGTCATCACTGTCATTTTTTTTTTTTTTAACATAAACTACAATACAATTGGCATTTTTTATTTATTTTCTTATTTTATAAAATATATTGTGGGTTTTTTTAAATGGGCTTTCAAATATGATTAAGTAATATTTTTATATTTTATTTTTATTTATAAAGATCTAAAATACTATATTTATTAATAAACTATATACGATATTGTAAAATTAAAATATTAGAATTTCTGAAAAATAAAGATTTATTAAATCAAAGAAATGAAATATCAATTTTTTTATAGACATTCTATTATGTTTTCTTTAAAAATAATTAATTATAAAAAAATTTGCATAATTATATATCTACTATTTGATCAAAAGTAGGATAGTTTATTAATAAATATAATATTTTAGATCTTTATAAATAAAAATATAAAATACCTGACTTAATCATATTTGAAAGCACCCTTTAAAAAAAAACAATATATATTATAAAATAAATAAATAAATAAAAATGCCAATTGTATTGTAGTTTATCTAAAAAAAAAAAAAAAGTGATGACACATTCTCATATAAGATTACAAACCCACACCTAACCCTTAACCGATATTTACGTTGCCACCTTAAATTATACTTGTATACTGATTCGTCAAAAAACCAACACCCCCTTAAAAAATTTTGTAATCTCGTTCCCCCACCAACTTAAACTATAATAATACTATTTAGCTTATGAAGAATAAATCATCTTTTTGAAAGTTATTCAACATTGCTTGAAAATGGTACAAAAACTTTAAGTTTAAATTTAAGATTTAGGTTTCAGTTTTGAAATGTGGTAATTTCTGTGTTGTGATGAGTACATATTTTTAAATAATTATATATGTGTGTGTGTGCACATATGTTTATCTTTCTTCCTCTCCCACTTGCCTTTAGTCTGTTTCACAAACTGTCTCAACAAAACATCTGAAAAAAGCACCCCCCTCTTCCCTTTTTATACTGCCTGCTTAACCCACAATTTACAATGCCCCCCCCCCTTCCGTTAGTGAAAAGTATTTAATCTAACATTGTCCAGTTAACACTTTTTTTTTTGTTTTGTTTTTCTTTCCCCTGGGAAGTAGGGATGCACAGTAATAAGGGCACAGGTAAAAATGGCACAAGTGGTGGAGAAAATAGGAAAAAATGGCACAAATAAGTCATCCAGGTTATTGCTAGAAATCTGGTTGATCTTCTGTTTCTGCTGCTTTTCTCTTCATATTGTTGATGTATTTTGTGGATGCAATAGCTGCATAATCAGGAGCATAGTTGTGGTTTTTTAGCTGCTACAGGATCAGTCATATCAAGGCTGATAGTCATGGTACCTTTTACAAAAAGACGTTCTCTTAACACATCTCTTTATCTGATAGTAATTGATCTTGCAATCTGTTTTTTTATACATTTACCCTTGGAAGCATATCTTTTCTTTTCCTTTATTACTTGCTATAACTTCCATGATAGGGGTTATGATAGACGATGAAATCAATGGTGTGCTTGATGGCTCCAAGACAACCTGAACCTTCACTTTGTGCCATTTTTTTTTTTTTTTTCCTATTTTCCCACCTGTGCCATTATTACCTAAATTTGGGAAGTAGGAAAACATTCTCTCTCTCCTCATTTTTTTTTCTTTTCTTCAACTACAGAACTGTATTGTTATTTAAACAATTTAGCAACAACAAAATCATTATTTCCTTCAGAGAAATAAACAAATAGAACAGTATACTTTGTTGTGTATAAAATATTATTAAAAGTCTAGCAAAAAGATCACCAAGGCTTAGTAGTACACAATTCATTTGGCCTTTAACAAATCTTTATCCAATACAAGAGTCACTCAAGATTGTTGTATGGACATAATATGAATATATATAATAGGGGCCACCTCAATGTGGTGTTACGGTTAGCAAACATGTCTCACTAGATCAGTTTGATCCTCACTGAGTGCTTCATGCTTTCAGCCTTGTGCCACATCTAAGTTTCGCTGCACTTAGAAAATTAGCATTGATAAGTAATGGTTGACCCTAAAACTGAAGAAGTTAAGATTGTTCAGGGAAGCATCCACTCTGGAGCCTGTTCTATAAAGGAGCAGTCCTCAGGAGGAAACTATTTTAATAATGGAATATGAAGGGGATGAGAACAGTTCGAAGAACCCCCACCCCACGTTTATATGGCATGACAGGTCTTAGCTAATGCCTTTCAGAACAGGAAAAATGACACGTTAGAGTAGCATTTATCCTCAAGGACACATGGCACAGTGGATAAAGGCGTTAGTTAGATCCAGTGACAGGACCCAAAGAGTGAGAGTTCAATACCTGGTTAAGGCAGTGGAGAACTTGGAGAGGGGAATTAACAGGAGATAACTGATATCCATTAAATATGGCACATGGAACTAGAACAGTCTACCCCAGTGAGCAAAATAAAGGGTTCAGTTTGACATTCCAACCACCTGAAGAAGGCTGGAGCGTACAACAGCCAAAACATTGTAATAAATATGGCGACAAAGTAGTGTACATAATACCTCATCTCAGAAATACAAACATACTGAAGGGTGATAAATATGGTGACAAAGATAAGGACAATAGTCCAAATAATAATGTACATAATACCTCATCTCAGAAATATAGACAGATATCATTTTTATTTTAATATCATTTGTCTTAACTCTACCATTTACTTTACGATTACTGTAGGGTCTGTGCTTGCATTTTATATGAAAAAAATCATATCAACATTGAGAGACTGAAAAAGAAAAACTGTTACATAAAATTTGTAAAAAAACGGGGTGCCCCCCCCCCAAAAAAAATTAACATCTAATAAGAACCAATTCTTACTCAAATGATCTCAATTTTTACACATTTTGTTAAAATCAAAGTTGACCATGTTGACTTATCAGAATCTACCAGGAAGATGGACTGGGCATGCCAGTGATAATGACAATGTGCTGTTGAAATGGCCACCACGTTCAACTGACTTGACACCTCTTCTTATGTTTGGAAGGAGCTGCGTCGTGTCATGTCACAGGTTGTGTGCATATTGAACTATTGTTAAATCAGTTATAAAATCGACATCCCTTTGAAAATCTTGTCCAAATTTTGATAAATAAATATTTTATTGTTCAAAATGAAACCTATTTTATTTTGTTTGCCTGGGACATGGAATTAGTCAGATATTCACATTTTAAATGTCAATTTTGTGAGGACATCCTGTATACCTACATTTTAACAAAAATTAATTTTCATTTTTTATTCTCTTCCATCATAAACATTTCATCACTTTCTTACATACTATGTTCGGAATTCATTTTACACAAGACTCCCAATGACAGATTAGTAAGGCTAAAAGCTAACTTTACATATTAAATCCCATTGGAGTTTGGCTAATTACAGAGTGGTCTCCCCTTATTATAATTTTATAAATAGGAAGTGATTTGATGTTAACAGTGGCTCATATGAATGTGTTTACTGAAATAACTCTACTCTCTTGATGGGTCAAATTAATATAGTTTTGACTGAAACAATTTCTCAGCCTTCTTTCATCAAATTTCAAACTTCTAAATGTTACCTCCTTTTATCAAGAAATGACTAGGAATGTGAGGCATCTGAGGTATTTCATAGTCCCTTAAGAATAAACCTGATTTATCTTATGGATTTGACTTGAAGAAACTGTAAAGTAAATACAAGAATCATCTACACCTGTGAAAGCCTTTTATTTATGAGACAGATTGTTTTTAGTTAGTTGCTCATTTAACACAATTAGTATTCAGCAATTCTAATGAAACTTGCACCTGTGTTCTTTTATATAAGTGCTTGCAGGAAATGATGAAATATTAAAGTATTTTGAAAGGGAAAAGAAAGAAAAAGACAGGTAGTTGTCACAGATGCCACAGGAAGTAAATACCTTTTTAAAAATAAGAGATGAGTAACCTTTTAACTCTTATCGGATTCTACGCTATTTGTTAGCATTGGAACTGAGAAGAGTTAATGTTACCTTTTTTCTTGTACTTACAAAGGCATTTTCTTCCTGTGGCATCTGTGACAATCAACTGCCTTTTTCAGTCTCAAACAACATTGTCATGAAAGAAACAGCTATCCATTTTCTTCAGGATCACTTATATAAATGAATTACCATAAATTGTGGTGTACAAGTCAACCTCAAGATTTTTAGCTTGAAATTCTGAGTTCGGCCCATTCCTGCTGTATAGGTTGACCTCCCCCCCACACACACACCTCCAAATAAAATATATGGTAGGAGTAGATAGAGAAGGACTGTAAACTGGGCAATAGATTTGTCTATATTTTGAGTAGAAGAGGAGGTTTATCCCTTGTTTCCTTTTTCTAAAGGCTTCTCATTTTCTTTCACCTCTGGGGTAACCTTTTGCATGTGAGTAGCTTTATCACCTTGCTTGTGGTGAAATGATCAATAAAGAGAAAAATGACTACCCCCACCTCTTTAAATGCAATGAGGAAATTGTCCAGAGTGTTTGATCTTGGAAGATTGCCCCCCACCAATCTTATTGCTCATTGTGAAAGTTAACTAAGAGGTGTAATAGCTCTTTAATGTTACCACTGTCAGGTATATAAAATGTGTGGGATTTGATTTAAAAAAAAAATCAAAGTGATAAGGGTTCATGCCTTTTGTGCAAAATATCACAAGGTTAGTTCTGTACCTTTTCAGTATACCATTTAAGACTTTAAACATTGATAGTTTATCAAAGATTTACCTCATGGGGAAATCCACTCTGTAGGACACTGTTTCTGGCAATTTCACACATGTCACAAGTGCTCAGTTTCCAAACTTGTGCAGCAATGCTATACTCCTCCATCAATGGTTCCTGCAAATGAGACAATCAAAATAGAATCAGAAAAAGAATAGCATAAACAAATCCCACTTCAAATGATAATTCAGCAAGACTTTTCCTTTTAATCCATTTCCTGCTGGTGCCTATTTTAACTGATATCATTTTCCATATGTTTTAATTATTTTGTTTAAAGTTAATATTTTCTTGATTTCAGATGAAAACATGGAAATTTTCTCTTTCTAAAATCATACTTTCCAATAATAAAGGATATCATTTAACTGTATAAATATTTTTTCAAATCTATCCTTTGTTCATTTAACAGAATTATATCAAAATGTACACTGAGAAGTGGTTGACCTGCAGTCCAATGACAGAAGGAAAGACTAATGATTTTAACAAATGTCTCTAATATAAAAGATATTCTTCATTAAAATCTTGCCAGGAAATGTCAACATTTGGCACAGAATATTCAATGATGAAACATGCCCAAATCTGTATTCAGTGCTTTTTATAATCTAATAAGATTTCTATATTTATGCACTATCAACAGAAATATTTAACGTTTCCTGTCTACTGACTTCCTACAGTCACAAGTTACTTCATTACCCATAGACTCAGTCATGATTTTATTGGCCTTTAAAAAAAAAAAAAAAAAATGCCATTTATCTGGGTTTTTTTTCAAAACTAGAAATATTTTTGTATTACTTTAGAAAAGTCTTTATAGAAAATAAGTCAATATTGGAGTTATTATTTTTTTTTTTTTATCATTTCACCCCAAGCATGGCGATAATGCAACTAGGGCACAAGAGGTTATTGTGAATGGAAGAGAATGAGAAGACTTTAGTTAATAGGATAATAAAAGAACAGGTTTCAGCAAGAGAGAAAATGGCGATTGGCATTGCATTTAAATTTTTGAAGATTGTAGGTGACAGAGAAGCAAGAAAGTGGACAGGAATAAAGAAACTATTAGAATAGCACTTAGAATTACATCTAACTAGATCAACAGTAAAACAGTACGACTTAGTTGGCAATCTATATATGTGTATTGTCATAAAAATCTTACTAACTACAGTAATTTTGAGTTCAATCTGAAACTTAATAAGTGTGGGGCCTATATTAATTTTTTTTTTTTTTTTTTTTTTTCTCAAAAATTTAAAATTCAAAAACATTACTAATTGTGCAATTATTATTTTATACAGCAATTTACATTGTTCGGGCTGTTGTCCTCATCTTTGTCACATTCACAATGTTTCGGTTGTTGTACACTCCGGCCTTCTTCAGGTGATACATGTTAGAATTTCAAACCAAACCATTTATTTAGTCCTCGTGCTGTACCATGCCTTTCCTGGATATCTCAATTTCAATTAATTCCCTTTAGTAACTCAGCTTTCCAAGTTTTTGTTCATCCAGGTATTGAACTCACAATTCTTTGGGTCAAGTCACTTCAAATAACACTTTTATTCACTGGATAAAGCATTGATTGAAGTGGACAGTTAAGTTACTAAAGGGAACTAACTGAAATATTGAGATATCCAGAAAATATATGGCATGTGGAACTAGAACAATCTACCGCCATATGGACTAAATAAACAGTTGCATTTAAAATTCCATTGCATATCACCTGAAGAAGGTCAGATCATGCAATGGATGAAACATTGAGAATATGACAATAAAGATGAGGACAGAAGAGGTGGATTCATGCCTTTCCCAAAGGGTATTTGCATGTAAGTGAATATAATGAACCCGACAAGAATTGGAACTCAACTCTGATTAACAATTCCAAGCCATTATCTCATCTGGTATTCCCAAGTGGTCACCCACCGAGGTACTGACCAGCCTCAATATTGCTTAACTTCAGTGATTATACAGGAACCAGTGCTTCAACCTGATGTGGCCATAATGATGACTATCTCATGTTTTTCCTATATTCAAACCCAGACCTAATTGATAATTTTCTCCCATAAAGAATGATACGTCACCTGACAGATCTATAATTTAAACAATAAAAAATTGTCTTAAATATCAAATCAGATTGTAAAACATTCTCTATTCAATACTAAATTAATTCATCAGTGGCTTTAGCCATCTGAATGAAAAGAACAATTTAATTTTTTTTAAGCAGACCTGGGAGAACAAAATTAGAATCCCAAAACTTTTAATATTTTTTTTTTAATTTTCTTTTAAAATTCAATACAAGTTTTATGAGCTTTTCTTCTTTACTAAAAAAAAGAAAAAAGTTCACACTCCTGGTCTTTTGAACAGGTATAGAGGTTTATCACATTTTTCTGGTTCCTTCAAAAGTTTTCTCATTCTCTTTCACTCCCAGTAGCCCCTTGCATCCTAGTGGCATTATTGTCTTGCTTGGGTTAAATTGATTAAAAAAAAAAAAAATCTCCAAACATTAAGTCATTAATGTTATATTGATTTTCTAAGTGTAACTTAGATGTGGCACAAGGCCGAAAGTATGGGGCATCTAATGAGGATCGAACTCACTTTTCAGTCGTAACTGATCTAGTAAGACTAGCTTGCTAACCGTTACACCACACCGAGGTGTCCAAGTCATTAATGTTATATACAAACACCATTTTCTATTAACTCATTTTTTAATTGGTAAAAAAATGATTGACAAAAATTTTGTACTAGAGTCACCATTACTCTGAGGTTTTTTGGGTTTTTTTAACCAATTAAGATAAGAATCAGTTTGGGTAATAACAGATTTAAATATTAATAAAATAAAAAGCAGTGTGTTCTTATTTTTATCATATCTAAGACAGAATGGAGCACTTCTGTTACCTCCCAATAATTACTGGGGTTAGTTTTAATCATTAGAAAGAATTGTTGCTTTTTTTTTTTCTCCTTTTTCCATTATTTTTAAGCCTCCACCTCCAAGCTATTGTACTTTTTCCTAATAATTAATAGCAACAAAAAGCCATAATAAATTAAACTGTTTAATAAAATATTTGAAATATCTTCTGGTCATAAGAAAATCCTGAAACAAGAAAAAATACTTCACAATCTCTTAAACTATGCATAATTCTTTGATTAGTGCACTTTTTATATACCAAATTTACAACAGCTTTAGTTTAAAATTTTCAATCTTAAAAAAAGAAAAAAAAAGCTATGGTTAAAAATATATAAAGAAAGGATTAAAGCTGAATAAGCACAGCTTATTAAAAAAAATTTCTTATAAATTTTTACAATTTAACACTCAACTGTTGTCTATATTTTAACCACTTTGTTTTCTATTTGGTGTGAGGGAAACATAAATACTTCTTTTCATAGAATTAATCTATTAAATCATTTCTGTGGAGATGGGTTGACTGATTTCTCACAAATAAAGGGAGATAATATCTCTAATCTTAATTTTAAAAAAAAACACAAAAGTAAAAAGACATAAGAATTTGTGTTAGGGCGTGGACCCCCTATAAAATAAAAATTCTGCATAATATATCAAATTTCTTGCACTGCCTTCAGAAAACTATAGTTTAAGGTTACTGAATATATTTATTAAAGTGCCTGAATCATTTTTTTTTTTCCTTTTCTTTCTTTTTTAACTGATTTTTACAGATTTCCATTTGAATCTGTTAGTCATTTCTATATATGCGCTAAATTTATCTTTGACTTACTTTAAAAATTCTCTTCGGTTTGTGTTCTTAAAAGAATTTTTTTTGTTTTCTTTACTATCAGAATATTTAAATATATCTTTTCAAATATTTGATGTAGATGTAGTTCAAAGTTTAATTCTCTAAGAATACTCAGCAGGTTTATCTTACTGGGTGCTCTACTTTTATAGCCCTGTGCCAAACTACATTAAGTAAACTACCATTATCAGTAAGTGCTTGTGCTAGTATGATAGCAAGCTTACAAGGTAGTAACAGAAATTTCCTGGACTAGGATCTCCTAACAGACATAACTAATTTCAATTAGGAGTGAGACTTGACAATCTTCATGAGTGCAAATGTTTTTCCTTTGCATTTGGCTGTCCTAAACACTCATTCCCTTGGACCATTACAGTATGCTGGAGGTCCTCAAACATTTTATAAATGCTTATCATGTGAGTATTTCCTTCTTTTAAGAAAAATACAGCATAATAATAAAATGATAGACCTTAAAATTTACAGGCAGCAGTACAGGGGCTAGTTGTGTCCATTTCCCACGATTTGAAGAAATGGACTGAGCCAGATTATTTATTCTGTTACAAATAGGTAAAGAAGTAGTGTAGCTATGGCAGCTATAAGATTCACAGTTGATTTGACACCATTTGACCACTATCTACCAGTTAGCAAATTCTCCAAGATTTTTTTCTCTCAGGCCAAGGTATACAAAGAGTGTGTGAATTCTGGGCAAACATCAATCAAAGGTGATGTAAAAACAGAACCTTGGACAAGAAAGGAATTCTTTTAAATTGTGATCTATCAACAGATGTTCAGAAAACTATCAATGAACTCTAAAAACTTAATAGTGAAAATATCAATTGGTTTATAAAAAAAAAAAAAAAAAGTTTTAGTCAAAAACAAAGTTAAGAATCCAAAAGGTATTTTAAGTAATTCTATGATAACCCTCTCATCAAATTTAAGTAACAAAGAAGCAAAAACTTTATTTTAAAATTGTTTCAGGCACAAGGACTGACCTTGGTGAAATGGAACTGTAGGGGATCATCTGTTGAAATGGAAACATTAAGTCCACGAGCAAAATATTCCGGAAGTGGATTTCTGTGATAGTTCAAAAAAAGTGAATTGTTGCTCAGTGGAGACATAGCAATTCCAATCTGGGCCAAATAGTACAAATATTGCAGTACAGGAACCTGGTGGGAAAAAGACAAGAAAAATTAAAAAGTACCTTCAAAACAGAAATAAAACCAACCCACTTTTTAAATATATTTCGAAGATCAAAATAACTTAAGATTACAAACAGAAACTGTTTATTACTAGTTCTGACCCATAAAACAAATAGTCAGGGACTCTCTTGAGTCTGGAAGTGATAAGGGAATGTGATTTAATTTGATTCATGGTCCCCACCTAATCTCAGATCATAATACATTTTTCCTCATATACAATTTTATCTTTTTTTTCATTCTAGCTTGAGGAAGCCAGAGAGAGCAGATGCTCTCAGTGAAACAGTTCATTTATAAATCATCCACTTTGTCACTTCATTTTTGTTTTTGATACTATTATATATCCTATAAACACACACATTTCATACTACTATGAAAAAAAAAAAGGTGATACTATTTTCCTGAGCTACAGCTATACACTGTAATTCATTTAAGAGAGAGATATAAGCTTAGGTCCATTTACAAACATTGCTTTAAGAAATAAACAGGTAAAATATTTAATACCTACACAGGCAAAGTAACATTGATCCAAGTTTAAAAACAGATTGATGAAAAAAGTATTTGGTGCTACTATATCTACTATTCATTTTATACTATGGTATGATTTTTACCAACTGTTGGAAGTATGAAATAAGTTAACATTAGAGACAGTGAACTGGTTATGTATTAAAAAATTTTTTAAATCATCAAATGGTGATTTTAATGTTTGTAAACTGATTTGATGTTATTTAAAAAACAGTAAATAGGTCATCATTTTTCCTGAGCATTTTCCAGCAATAATGAGTGCATAGTCATTTATGGTAGGCCGCAAATGCCTCAGTAGATTTCATACTATAGTAGCACCAAGTATTTGTATAAGATATTGAAGCATTCCTTTTTCTCGTCCAATTTGCTCCAATTTTACAGAAACAAATATATTTATTACAGGATAAAACTAAGATTTATATTAATTTTGTATCTGATCATACAGAATTTTGAATGTTTTTAAGGAAGATATAATTTGCTTATTTTGGGGAACAAGCAAATTATATCTTCATTATGAGAAATAGCTTCAAAATTATATGAATTTGAGTTAAGCAATGATTGATATATTGTAAATTAGGAAGATAAATTACATTTAATTTTGAAAGTATTGAAAAAAAAAAAAAATGGATCATCAACAGTTCATAAAAAATCTCATATAACAAGGGAGATAACTCTTTTGGAAGTAAATACTCTTCTATAGCAACAGGGTCTTTATTGATTATTTATGAAGTTTAGTATAGGCTGACACAAGGCTAGAAATATCAAATAGTTACAATTTGCAATACTAGCTTACTAACCACTACTGTATGGTAAGGTTCCCGGATTTACTTATATAAAAAAAAAAAAAACAATGGCGAATTTAATGTAAATATAATAGATAAACTGAATTTTCCCATCTAAATATTACAATTCATTCATGATAGTTTCATACATATCTAGATTTGGTTTTTGATAATTTGAGATTAATGAAACTATAGTAATCCTGTGTGTATAACTCAGTTTTTGTTGTTTTTTTTTTTCTTCATCCAAAATCAAGTTCAAAAGTCTATGGCGTCTTGTACTTTATTTTAGAACTCAATGCCATTTTTTAGTCAGGACTCAAAATGGACAAAATCAGGTCAATTTGAATTTATTTCTTTACTGGAAAGGTAATATCTATCTTATGACATATTAAAACAAAAGAAACAAACAAGTTAATATTTATTCAATTTTATTTCTCTATTGGTGATTTAGTGGTTTTATGCCCTAAAAGTCGTCATCACATTTTTGTAATGCTTAACGAATCCCAAAAGTAAATAAAATGTTTTTTCTTTTCTCTTCATTTTCTGCAAGTTTAACTCCTTTTATTTGCTCCAAAATCAGGTGCATATTATATATGAAAATAAGCCTAATGGAATTCGTCTGCATTTTTAATTGCATCTTATACTACCTAGCATAAAGGATTACGGTAAAATTTTATCACTGGTAAGTTACAGAAAAGTTTACTTTTTAAAATGATCAAAAAAAAAGCTAAACCCTCTGCCCTGCCACTGAAAAAAAAAAAAAAAGGTCAGATGTGGAATCATTAAAACATCTTGGTCCTAATGACTGACACACACACAAGTGGATATTGAAGATGACAATCTATTTTAATGGTAAACAATCGTTAGGCAATATGCATTTAGCATGAAACAGACGGTCGCCTCTGGATGTTGACTTTAATGTCCACTTTTATATCTATATACACTCTGGTACTTTAACCTATAAATATAGCATATCTTAAAACTATATTTTATCACACACTAAAAAAGACATTTTTATGTTTAAACATACAAATATTTAAGTAAATGCTCTGTTTATAATAAACAGTATTAAACAAGATTTACCAGCCTGAATGTCCGAGAAATTTTCATAGAAAATATGCGTCCTCCCACAGGAATTGAACCTGTATCCTATACGGAACCATCATATAGCCTGATGTGCTTTTACCGATTTCACGACAGAGGAGCATTCTGGTTAGCAAAGTAAATTCATATAATAATTTTCGGACTTTGTTGTTTTCATTTTATATATATATATATATATATATAGAAAACAAACACTTTAAAATACCATATTTATTTCATTAGAATCAAAGATTCAATCCCAACTCTTCAAACTGAGTCTGTTTTTGACATTGAGCTCTCTGGATTTATACCCCTTTTGGAATTTCCATCAAGATTATATATATATATATATATATATATATATATATATATATATATATATATATATATGCATATATACTAACAACCGTACAATTCCACTTCTTTGTTATATATTAACTTTTTGGACAACTCCAAAAACTGCTTAAAAAACACATAAATATTAAGAGTAGTGATTATTGAAAGTCAAACTTTTTCCCTATAAAAAAAATAACCCAGTTTTTTCTCAACTACCTAATTTTTCTTTTTTTTTCTTTCCCAAATTTATGGTTTATGGTGATTAATAAACTCATATTCAGACTATTATCTGAAATAGTGAAATATAAATGTTATATTCATCTCTAGTGAACAATACAGTATCAATCACTCAGGCCAGAACAGTGTATTTATATATTTTGTCCATAATGTTCAGAACTTGTTGGTGTACTAGTGTGACGCCAGGTGGCAGTGTCCTCCTTACAATGATGGTCAACTGCTCAGTAATGTTTGCAAAAGCCAGGAAGGAAGTACAACAGTAATGATAGATTCACAGATAAAATCCTTTTAATAAGATATCAGCATAGGTATATTATTTAATACTTGAAATATAAAAATATTCATTACATTTATTTTATGACCATTATAGAGTAGATGATGAGCCACATAAAAGGAAACTACAATGCTTTGAAAACATTTATCTTAGGATTGGGTTCATGACTTTCCTTCTATCTTCATCTTTGAGAATGAATATGAAGAGAATAAAGATTCATTATATTCTCTGTGTGTGTAATGCTTCTCTACATTAGAAGAGTCCACTAGATAGAGATGGGCAAATTTCCCTTATGTGTTGGTTTCTCTTGATGTATAAAAATTAATTATTAAATTATTTAATTAATTAAAAATTAGTTTTAATTCATAGCATAGGGACAAGGCAAATAATTCATTATCTTAATTTCAGTTTAGTTAAATATTTAAGAAAATGCAGAATACCAGATATTTGTATACAAGAACAATGCAATTGCAAGATTACTTAAATATTTTTTGATAACAAGGGTGTGTACACATCCTCATATATATTAATATATCACCTTTTGTTTGTTTTGGGGTGGGGGTTCAGTCTTATTATAATTCCAAATTGGCATCAAATGATTTCATTATATATTAGTAAGCTTTTGATGTTTTTTTTATGGTATAAATTCTAAATCTGTCCTTCCTTCCAGGGATTAAACACCCATTGGTGTCAACAACATCCAATGAGGTCATCCATAATTGTTGAAATATACAGTAATATATTGCATCTGCACACCACATCTAACCATCTTTGGTACAACTTCAAGTTGCTGAGTTTTGAAATTAGTTTTCCTTCTCCTAAACTGGTTGCTAAGCCCTGTTATTTAATCAATAACTTGGAGGAGAAGAGATGGATTCGTACCATTTGTGCAAAAATGAATCTAATGGAATTGACCAGAATACCGTTTGCCAGTATCTTGTCACAAACCAATATGTGCTCCCTGTACACTAATAAATGTTGTGTACATTTATGACTAACAATAGTCTGCAACAATAAGATTTGTCTCTTGAGATTTTTACTTTAAATAAAAATGTTACAATTAATTAATTTGTATCATTTTTATTGTGTACAGCCTTTAAATTTTTACTACTGGCATTTTTATTGTTAAATAAAATATTAACAAGTGTATATGATAATGTTAGTCTTCTCCTGAAAAGAAGTGACAATCTCTTCACTTAGTAGCTTTTTTTTTTTTTTTTTTTTTTTTGGATTCAGAATTTTATTATTTCCATCATTTATACCTGAGCTAATGCTCAATAGGCCCGTGATTCTTATGGCAAGCCTCACTTTGCCACATGTGTAAAAGAGGTTGTAAAACAAAGTTTGTCTATGTTACCTATGTTGGAAACTTGCTTGTCTCTGTGAACAATCATGTGACATTCAAGTCCTGCAACAGACTTACAAACATTGTCACAAACCTTGCACAAGTAACCTGCAGGTCTTTCTGGTAGGGTTGCATTCACAGGAGTATGCACCTGACCTCTCTGGTGTTATCTTATGTGACTGGCTAAACCAACTGCCGAAAGGGTGACTTTTCCACAAATACTGAAAGTGTGTTGGTGTCCTAATAGCTTTGGGACAGATTCTATTTCTCAATAAGTGCATATACATATATACTAGACTCTTTGTGTGAGTGTGTATATACATACACATACAAAAGAAAAATTTTTCTTTACCAATGCATTTTGATTCCCTGAAGAATGTTATCAAGGTAAATGTGTAAATTTTATTTCATAACTTTATATATAGAAGTAAAGTGGAGGAAAAATATTGAGATTTTAAATGGAGGAAAAATATCATTAAGATTTTAAATTTAAAAATATTCTTAAAGCTGCATAAGGAAAGATAAACTATGGAGGATGCTAAGTGATATAATTATTGTCACAACTTTCATTTACTGAGTATATACATTATATTTTTATTTAATCCAGTACTAAATCTGTTTTACTCCAGTTTAGAAAAATGTTTCCAATATTTTCCTCAAATATTGTAGTGTTATGATTTATCTCTTAGCTTGAGTATGTTGCCTTGTTAGGTTTTCATATGCAAGTCTTTTCTTGTATACTGTTGTCATCTTCACATTATCATAAAAAAGATACTATTATCATTTGAGTTATCTCCCTTGCACTGACAATATTAAAAGTTACAGACAAAACATCACTTATTTTTTTGTTTTTAATACTCTCACTTTGTTCTGTCTCTATGGGCATACTGACCTTTCTAAGCATAAGTCCATGAGCAATGCTTTCACTCAACATGTACCCAGACACCAAATGAGTCACATTACCAGCTTCGCCACAGTGAGGCCGAAGAACAAAAGTATTGAAACCCCGTTCTCTGAAAGTAAAAAAAGCAACCATGTAACATTTTAATAGAATTTTTCCTTCTTACAAAAAAAAAAAAAAAGACAAACCATCTAAATTAGAAATAAACATTTATATTGTAATACATTTAAATTTTTGAATTTGCAGCTTTTTTTTTTCCAAAGAAACTAAAACTATTACAATTCAAACATATTATTTAATTATTATGTAGTAATTACTGTGTAATAAGAAGCAGTTAAAAATCAAAGATGTTGAGCTCTTGTAAGCAATTAAAATCAGCTGTTGTATTTAACCAAGGCTTTTTGATGTCAAAAGGGACACAAGTTCAAATTGTGTTGAGAGTTTATCTTTTATTTCTAATCTACAATGTCAACTCACTTAAGTTGCAACTAAAAATTTAAATGTATATAATTACTAATCTAAATTAACAATCATTGACAATGCTTCATCTAATAAAAAGTAAGATACCAATAACACTGCTGTTACATGTTCTTCATCCTTATCTTCATTTAAAAAGAAATATGTTGCTACTATTGATGTTTGGTATATGTACAGATTTTAACTTGTATATTTAAGTTAACACATTTAGTTTTAGGCAACAATAAAATTTGAAATTGGGATTCTCAAACTGTAAACATTTGACCTATGAGATGAATTTCAGTTATATATACAGGTTGTAAGTAATAAGGTATATAAGTTTGAGGCTGCCCCAGTAATTCTTTAAATTGGTTCCAAAAGTAGTTGTTTTGTACTTTAAAAAAAAGTGAGACATATTTTTTTTTTTTTTATGACAAAAAGAAAAAAGCATTTTATAATTAAATTTTGCTCTTGTCAAAATATCCTCCTTTAGCCTTCGTTTCTCAAAATATAAGATTGATAATTGATTCCATTCAGGGACTCTAAGAGATTTAAAAAAATTTTTTTTTTTTTTTTAACTCTTCTACCAAGTTCATCCGATGCTAACTCTAGGGGATTACTTCAAACTGTAGTGTGTGTGTAGTATATATATATATATATATATATATATGAGAGAGAGAGAGACATAATAACCTACCTTGGAAAAGAGTTATTACCAAAAGTAGTTAGATTCTGATACTTAAAGCAGCAGATTTTTGCTATGTTAATATTCTTTCCTTCTCTGAATGGCGTGGCCAATCAGAAAAATTGCTCAGTGAATAAAAGCCGTTGTTTTTTGCTTACAGCAAAAGGATTGTTTCTGATCTTGGTGGATGAACACATGGTTTTGTTGATAAGAATTGAAGGTTGGATTTGTGACCCCATTTCATCATTTCTACATTGCCTGTTGGGACTGTTTCAACGGACTATCGTTTGAACAGTGATTTGGCTACAAGTGTTGCAGACAAGAGACAGAAGAAACCTATTGCAAGAGTTTATTGCTACTATAAGTTTACAGTTATTTTTCTTTTCTTTTCTTTACTGCAACTAATATATATATATATATATATACACACACAATTCAGAATGGAAGTTTAACTGCATTCTCTGCTTAAATAAAGCTGCTTATCTTTTTTTCCTTCTGTTTGTGAGAACAAAAGTTTCAACCATTAACTTAATAAATTCTACCTGTGATACTAAACAATAAGTTTATCTTTACTTGTTTTTATTATGTTTAAGTAAGTACATTAAAAAAAAATGTTGATTTTTGGGAGTTATTTCAAAGAGGCAATGCCAGTTGTCCGTTATTAAGGAGTAAAATGTCTTCTACTCACTGTCGGAAATGGTTCAAGACAGTCATATTGGCAAACATGTAGTACAGGTAGTAGTTGTAAGGAGGGTTCTCTTCATTGGTCCATTTGTCTGGATAGGGACTATCAGCATCAAATACAACATGTTCAGGTTTGGATTCATCATCCACAGAATCAAAACCAGAAACCTATAAAGAGAAAGAAGAAAAAAAAAAAAAAAACAAACATAAAAATTTCTATACTTTACTAAACTTTTTCCTAGAGAAATGTTTTAACAAAAATGAAACCTCTGCTTTTAATGAGATTCTTTATCCATATTTTAATATAAATGTTTTTACTGCAAACAAAAAGTTCATATTTTTCTCAAACATAATGCAACAAAGCATAGACATTTGTAAAAGCAGTGATATTACCAGCGGCAGTTGCTTTACACCCAACAAACACATCAAGTAGACTCCATAGTTGTTGCTTTTTAGCAGAAGAAAAAAAACGAAAAAGGGACAATGATTTTTATATTTGATTTTATAAATAGCCTCTACCTTTTCTCTATTTGAAATGCATGCACATGTATTTATTCTTTGTTCCTCCAGTTATAGCACCTACTTGTAAAATCTCTGATGATCAATATTTATTTTAAGGCCTGCCTTTTAATAAGGTTGAAGAATTGTAATTGTGCTTTCCTTAAGAAAAAAAACATATCGAAACAAATAAATGATGTTTAACACATTCATTCCTCCTTTTTGTCTTATGGACAAAATATTACTTTCTCAGCAGAAGGGGAGTAGGCTTTGGAAATTAAAGAGCATTCCTGTGTTTAAAATGCAATACAGCCCCCTGTATTTAACATGGCTGCAGAAAATATAATCTATGAGGATCAAGTAGAAATGATCCCTATACTTGATACAATTTCTGTTCTGTATGAAACTGATTCTTTTTCCTTACATTAAGAGCTTTGAAGAAAGCTTTACAATAGATTAGTCAAAATATTGTGGTATAATTATTATTCTAATTCTCCTGCACCCAGTAACCCCTTGTGTCTTAGTGGCTTTTACTGCCTTGCATGAGATGAATTCAATTAAAAGAAAAATTACAAAACAGTTCCAGACTTATCTGGTGCCAATGTTTCATATTCCAAACTGCTTTCTGCCTATAAAAGTGCTGGAAGATTGTCTTTGATATTGTTTATATTATCCATACTCTGTTGGAATTCCAATTCCTTAACTCAAATAGTAGTGCTCACTTCGACATTCACAGCTCAAACCTGCATTTTGTCTGGCTCTGTGCCCGCACTTCTGGAGTACTGTAAAAGATGTAAGAGTTATAAAACATTTTTTGATCTATCAGGAAATGGACCTCACAGTTTTTTTTTTTTTTTTTGTTTTTTTTTTTGCATTTCTGATTCTCTCACTGATTGCATCCACAGAAACAGATCCAACCTAGCATGGCAGACTACACGGACTACTCAGGCCATCAACAGTGATATCTTTGGCCAGCAACAAAAGCCAGTGATGGCAGCAGCAGAAGAAACTAACTCGGTTACTACAATGCAATAATTTTTTAACATTTCTCCTACAAATTTATCTTGACTACTAATAAGCACTGATTTGCTTCACATGTTTATCTTTACTAGTACCTTGTGTTATATCCCAAATTAACTCTTAGTCTTCTATGACTGATATGCTGAAATGAGCATGAACCTTGTAAGTCACAGAAAATAAAACGTCTTTTACTTATCTCAATTATATCTTATCTCCATTTGTAGTTTTGTCACTGTGATTTTTTTTTTTTTATATTTCTTGTTAACAGTCACACTGTGGTTACACCTTAGAGGAAATCAATTTGACACCAACCAAAAACATTCTTTTTTTTATATCCATTTCAAATACAAATTTACCTTCTACAAGGTTTATTGTATTTCTGTTCTGTTTATATAGATGTACATGAAAGTCACTTACATACTGAAGAAAAGCATGTAGTTGAGGGTAACTCTTTGGGTCATTGGTGGCTGCAAAAAGTGGTTGGAAAATATTGTCTAGAATCTGCTCAAAATTCTTCACCAGGTTATTGGAACGGTAAACATCACTGAAAGGAAAAGAAAAAAAGTCTGAAGAACAACAAAAATGTATTATTGTATCTATTACATCGTCAAAGACTGTGATATCAGATGAAGAATTTTACTAAGAGAAGAATCTTTAATCCAAGTTATCAAATACTCTAAGTCTGTACAGATTGTTTTTAAGTTATTCAATTTAGTGAGGTGTAATGGATAATGGCTCAGTATGAAAAATTGGAGAGTGGGATTCAAATTCCAGTCAGATTCATTACAATTTTGAGAATATGGAACTTTAGAAAACAACTTAACCCAGATTCTGGTCAACCCCACCCCTGCCAGGTGCATATAAGCTGGAGGTTTGAACAACTTGAAGAGTCCCCACATTGCTGCTACTGGAATCCACATCATTTGCCAAGACCTCCTGACCAAGACCCTGTGCCAGCCCTGAAGACCAGAATTTAGAAATTTAAGTTATTACTAACACAAGCTGCAGACTCCAACAGGGATCCCAGTGCCCTTTGATTATAACATTAAGTGGGAAGGGCTAAAACTTCTGTATACAACAAATCATATATAAACCGAATCATTGTTACATTTTTAACCAAAGTTAATTCTTTATTCCAAAGGATTCTTTTTTGTGTAAGTCCCAGCTGTCGACCCATCTACACTTCAGTTTGCTTCATCAGTGACCTTAACTCATCCTCTGAGATTAAAAAACACAATTTGGCACAGGAGTGAATGGTTATGAACAGACAAATGCCAGCTAAGTCAAGTAGAATCATGCCCATCATCAGGATACCAGCAACAAACAAGCCGTGCGTTAATGAGTGAGAAGTCAGCTAGATGGTAACCACAGTGGTCTGAAGGAATTTAGGAACCAATCTGGAGCTACATTATTGCTTGCCATTGACAAGGATTCACTTGTAGGGGTTACACTGGTGCATGGAAAGTGTTTAGTGACTTGATGTATTGAGAGACTTGATAATTCTGAGTGAAGGAGTAGAGATATTAAAATGAGAAAGATATTGGAGAATGGTTATTCAGATTGATGTTGAGTGGAAAAAAATCTGGTTTAAAAATATTAATTTAAACCTATAAAATACTTATAAGGAGGGCCTTGGAAGTGTTTGAACTCAAACTAAGTAAGATTCAGTGTAATTGGGCCTCACAGTTTTTTTGTTTTTGTTTGTTTTTGTTTTTTGCAGCAGCAGGCATTTCTGATCCTCTCACTGATTATAATGCCAACACTGATTCCATCCACAGAAACAGATCCAACCTAGCATGGCAGACTACACGGACTACTCAGGACATCAGTGACAACACGGCACTTCCATCAACAGTGATATCTTTGGCCAGCAAAAAAAAGCCAGTGGCAGCAGCAGAAGAGACTAACTCGGTTACTACAATGCAATAACTCCATAGCCCCATGAGGGTTGGCATGACATGACTAATGAGTATGTCAAAAATCCGCAGCTTTTCGGTCGCTCTAGGGTATTTGCATTGAGTTCAATGTAATTGTGGAAAATTAAAAATCTAGGCCAAAACTAAAAAACATCTGGTTTTCTTACAGAAGGTTCTTTGTTTCAGACTCTAATTAATCTTGTCTATTTCCCAGCCGGAAATATATATATATATATATAGTTTATGAAAAACTAGGTAATCCATATGGGTAAACCTAAGGAGGATAAATATATATATATATATATATATATAAACAAAATACACATATATACACAAAAGTGAAGGGGCGCATCAGTTGGAAATGTCTTCATGCTCCATTGAAAGATCATGTAAGAATTTTTATTTTTAATAATGATTTAGTGATACAAATCTTACTAAATAACCCACAGCTGGGGAGAAAGATTGGTTCATGCCTTTCCCAAAGGTATTTGCGCATAAGTGAATATAAAGACCCAAACTGAAGTGGAAACTCGGCTCTCTGATTAACAATTCCAAGCCACTATTTATTACACCACCTGCATACCCAAGTGGTCACCCATTTAGGTACTAACCAGACTTGATGTTGCTTAACTTCAGTGATTGTATGAGAACTGGTGTTTTAATGTGATATTGTTGTAAATTTTTCTTTAATAAAACTTTTCAATCTAGGCCAGTTGTTATTAATTTCACTGTTTATGAAAAAAAAAAAAAAAAAACCAGGAATAACAATTTGAACATGTGTGGCCACTAAGAATAACATTTATTACTATTGACTTGCATAAACCAATAGATATGTGGCCACTTTTTAAAATGGTAATCTGGAACTCATAAGTGAGCATATTTATATCCTCAGAAGTAAGATGTCCCAAGATGATGATCATCATCAAAAAAGAGAGGAAATGATGAAACATGCTCAATGTCTTTTATATATCATCAATTTGGCAAAGATATTAGGATAATCAAGAACCTATACTGGCAGGAAACAGCCTTCATGCGGACAGAGAATGAGTTCAGCAGATATACAAAAATAGAAAAGGGTGTCAGGCAAGGAAGTGTCTTCTCAACAGACTTATTCAACCTATACAGCGAGGCAATTTTGAGAGAATTGGAAATCCTACCAGGACTCCATATTGGCGCCCACAATCTTAACAACATAAGATATGCAGATGACACAGTGCTGATAGCAGACACAGAAAGGAAATTACAAAACCTTCTACAGAAGGTAGTGAAGGAGAGTTACAAGAAGGGACTAAGCATCCAAGAAGATGGAATGCATGGTCATCAGTAAAAGGATGAGCCTGAAATGCAATTTGTAGGTTGGGAACACTAGAATCAAGAAGACGGGGAAGTTTAAATATCTGGGAAGCATTTTGACAGAGTGTGACACTGAGATCCATAGAGGTATTGGGATGGCCAAGGACGCATTCTAAAAGTTGGGCAGAGTATTGCGCAACAGGGGGATTTCTTTGGTAACAAAGAAAAGAATACTGAGTTGTTACATGACATCTGTTCTTCTTTACAGCAGCAAATGTTGGACGGTCTCCACAAAGATGAAGAAGAGACTTGAAGCTACGGAGATGTGGTTCTACAGAAGGATGGTGATGATATCATGGACTGAGCATGTGAGCAATGATGAAGTTTTGGATAGGATGCAAATAAGGAGGAAGCTTATATTTAACATTGGGAAGAGGCAGATGAAATTTTTGGGACACATAATGGGAAAGGAAGGCCTAGAGAATCTGATACTCAAGGGTTGAATAGAGGGAAAGAGAGACAAGGGAAAGTAATGCATGGCATCCCTGGCGGTCTTAAGCAAGTGGATAACAGAACATGGTCTGGGAGAGGTGGTAGAGGGACAAGCCTTACTGAGAGCTACAAGGGATAGGGGGAAGTGGAGATCCATGATCACCTCCGACCAGAAGAGACACAACACATAAAAAGAAAGAAGGTGCATTTAAAAGCACTTTTTTCCATTTATTAGAATCGAGACAAAAATATACTAGAAGTATATAATAAAAAAAAAATGTTTGCCTGTGTTTTGCAGATTGTGTCAGCAACCAATGCTGCTATGTGTGCCATTAAAACAGCAGTGAATGGGGATAGAATCTTGTAGACCCCCCCATTAGTGGAATGAGACTGAGTTTCATCTGATGCTTCACTATTGTGTCCTTGTGTCAGATGAGAAACTAAGCCAAGTAAGGACCTCCATACCTGGAAGAGTGTCAACATCATAAAACTGATAAATAATTAATATTCTCTCCCTTGAATAGCCGTTTCAACATCAACCACCAAATAAATTTTGGAAATTTAACACCTTCCTACATTAAAACGGTATATTGATTGATTTGTTTTTTATGGTTTATCAACCCTTTGTGGGTTATTCAAAGCCAAAACTTATTTTTGATTGTAAGAACAATTTGTTTTTGTTTTGTTTTTTTTTGAAAGAAAATATTGCATTAACAATTTTTCTGAGAATAATGATTTTTTTCTGATAAATATCCTATTTAACCCATAGCTGGGGAGAGGAGATCACTTCATATCTTTCTCAAGAGCATTTGCATGTAAATGAATCTAACAAACCATACTCTCTGATTTCTCATTCCGAGCCTGCTATTGCTAAAACAAAAAGAAATCCTTTATTTTATTGACAACCGTTAAATATATTTTTCAATCTTTGTAGACAAATTTTTAATTATCACCAAATTTGTTTTGACATTTCAAAGTGCACACCCTTCTGGATGCTCTAAAATACCAAGTCCAATTCAGTGTTTTGTCATGTCTAGCTTTCTATTTAAAAGACTGTTTTAACAATGGTAGAATGGTGACTTGAAAGACATTGTCAGCCATAGTTTATTTGCCTCCCACCTCTTTATTTTTGCCAACTGAACTCTTCCTAACCAAACCAAAGTTGAGAGAAAGTTAATGGCTGGAACTGGTTCATTTTTTTTTTTTTTTTCTTGGTGGACACTTCCACTGACCTTATATGTTATGAGTATAGACAATAAGTTATATTTAAAGTTTTATTTTATTTTATTTATTAAAACCATGAGAGAATAATATATCAAATGTCTTGACTGGTTTTCAACCAACAGTTTATGCAGTTATTAGTACCACCAAAATACTAGCAACAAACCGATACAGTAATGTTGGAAATTCAAAATTATGCTCGAATAATTGATGACTGATCACTTATTGGTATTTGAGAAAAGAAATGGACTTACTACAAGCGTGGAATTTGAATAAGCCAACGGACATTGTCTGAGTGAACTTTGTGTACCACTGCCCATTTGGCAAGCTTTTCCCATTCGTCTGGGGAACGGCCATAAATGGACAGACGGTATTCAGCATTTTGATATTTGCTCTCCTCCAAGTCACTTATCACTTCCTAAAAGAAAATAGAATAAAAAGCAAAATCAGCAGAAATCCAAAATAAAATATTTTTAAGAAATAAATATTAAAAAATATTTTATTCAGAAAATAAATATTTTTAAGATAAATATTTTTTATTTTAATATTTAATTTTTAATTCTTTATCTTTAAGATTAATATTTTTAAGAAATAAATATTATCTTAAAAATAAAAAATATTTATTTCCAAATTAAAATATTTCTTAGTATTTATTTCTTAAATAAAAATTATATTACCCACCATACAAAGTACGCTATACACCTCTCTGCACCAAAAAACATTCCCCACTCCCCAATGATAGAGATTACCAGTACTAGACTAATACCATAACACCCCTTGTAGGATATATTTTAGTCTCCTAGTTATCAGAAAATGAAATGTATGTAAATTATAAATACTAAAATTATAATTACAAATCAAAATATTAAAATTTAAACAAATAAAATAAGTAGGGATGAATCAAGTTGATTTTTTTTTTAATCATTTCACCCCAAGCAAGGTGATAATGCCACTAAGACACAATGGGTTACTAGGAGGGGAAGAGAATGAAAAGACTTTAGTGGGGAGAAAGGACAATAAAATAACATGTTTCAGGAAGACAGAAGATGGTGTTGCATTTAAATTTTCAAAGATTGTAGTTATCAGGAAAGCAAGAAATCAGAAAGGAGTTCCACAGGAGAGAAGAGCAAGAAAACTATTAGAATAGAACTCACTGTTATTCCAACAGTACAATTATGAGACCTAGTTGCCAATCTTAAATTCACACTGTTGAGGTACCAGGTAGGAGAACTCATTAGAACAACTGCCATGAAAATATTCATAGAAAAGATGAAAAGAAGCCATTTCACAGCTGTTGGAAAGTGACTGAAGTCGAGGTGCCAGGTCAGGATCAATAATATCACAAACCCTTCTCAGTAAACTTTGTCTTCTGATGGTAATTAGTTACACCTGATCCTGTTTATGTTTTCATAGCATAGACTCAGTAACCCCCTTGTGTCTTCGTGGCATTATTGCCTTGTTTGGGGTAAAATGATTAAAAAAAAAATATATATATATATATATATATTGTTAGGTCAGCTGCTATAAAAGTTGGTTAAGTGTGTCGAGCGAGATAATTTTTCTCTCCAGAATCTATCTTACATATCTGTAAGTCTACCATTTGTCCATGCTTAGAATATTGCTGCTACATATGATCTGGTGCTCCTGATATTTATCTAAGGCTCCTTGATAAAATCGAAAGGATAATCAGCAATATCATTGGTCCTGATCTGGCAGCTCAGCTTCAGCCACTTTCCCACTACCATAAAGTTTCCTTTTCTATAAATGCTTTCATGTTTATTGTTTGGACAACCTCTTCAGTATGATACCTAGATTTCATGAATATAAGCACGGTACTAGAGACTGGCAACAATGTCTCCTCAATATACAGATTAGATGGCTAGATATAACCGTAAGTTCTAGGCTAACAGTTTCTTTTCTCGCCTGTGGAACTCCTTTCAGCTAACTTTAATCTGCAAAAATTTAAATGCAATGCCAACTGCTATCTAATGTCTTCTTGATAACTCTTTTGTTTTTGCTCATTAGTGGTGTTATTGTTTTCTAATTCTTTCACATCCAGTAAACCCTTGTTTCAATGACTATATATATATATATATATATATAATAAAAAGGCTTAAACACTAATATTCCATGGTCATAATTTATTCCATTGGAATCGTAAATACGATCCAAATCATCAGACGATTCCAATGGAATAAATTATGACCATGGAATATTAGTGTTTAAGCTTTTATTATATCCTTACTCTGTCCTAGACATTGAGTTCTACCTGGATCCTTCCTCTTGAAAAATTTTTTTTCTGAAAATATACATGTATGGGAATTTTTAGATATATTTTTTTCATATGTATGTATATTTTCCACTAATATTATCTATATATATATATATATATATTTTAATAAAAGTTCACCCCAAGCAAGGCATTAAATCCTTGCTTGGGATGAATTTGATTAAAATTTTATATATATATTTTTCTTTATTATAGGATATTACATTCAAACATATATACCTGCTACATCAATACATCCATGTTTCAATGCCTTATCATAGCATCTCATCAGGCCCAATGATAGGCATTAAAACATGGATGCATTGATATAGCTAGTATATATGTTCAAATGTAATATCCTATAATAAAGAATTATTGCCCTACTATTGTATCAAGCCCTTTCATTTGGATATTCACTCCTAATAAAGTTGAGCATTTTTACAATTAATTTAATAAGCAAACATGGATAAAATTGATTTTCAAATTTCACTTAAAAACATTCCCATTACAAACAAATGGAAATATTTTGAGAAATTGTTCCTAAAGACCAAAGATTAAAAAAGGTTAATATGGACACATTCCTTATGCAAATCATGTCAAAGATACAACCATTAAAAATCAATTTTGAAATATTTATGCAGTTTAATGAAAAGCCAAACTTTAAAAGTCAACAGACAAAATAGTTCCATTAAATTACATAAAAAAAAAGTGTATTTAAATTAACAAAAATTGAGTATTTGGATTTTTATTCATAAAAGATTAAACTCATTTTAGAGGTGATCATTTTTTTTTTTCATGACTGAAGAGTTAATAAAAATATTTAATATAAAAAAAGAAAAATTCAACTTTACCTTTATTACGTTGGCAAAATATTTGCCTCCGATGTGATTGTCTGTTTTAATGAAAATCTCCCGCAGCTCACTTTGTCCAATTGGATTGTATTTGGCGTTGAATTTATCAAATCTATGAAATGTATTGCGATCCTAAAAAGATAAAATACACGAAATGGGAAGTTAACGAGATCCAGATATTAATAGGTACGTTCCCTTGACAGGTGTCTTTAAAAGTTTCTGAATTTCTGCTGACTAAATAATGCACAGTCAAATACATGAATATTTGAGCCATAGAATTTTGAGGAATAGTGTGAAATATACTTGAATACCTCCATTTTCTTATTTAAGCAATGACAATTGCTGTAGGGGCAGTTTGTTTTTAATCATCTCACCCTATGCAAGGAAACAAAGCCACTAATATGCAAGGCATTACTGACTATTAGAGAATATGAGTAAAAACAAAACACTATTAGAGAGAGAGAACATTAAAAGAATTAAGACAGTAGATAACAAATGATCTTCAAAAATTAAAATGCAATGTCATAGTTGATTGGAAAGCAAGAAGCCAGTAGAGAATTCCACAAGCAAGAAGTGTGAGAGAAGAAACTGTCAGCATAGAACTTACGGTTACATTTAGACATTTCAACTGTAAAATGATGAGACCTTGCTGCCAATCTAGTACTGCGTTTAAATTCATAAAGTCTAGGTACCATAAAAGAAAGTTCATCAGAACAATTACCATGAAAGTATCTATAGAAAAGGTACAGGGAAGCTATGTTATGGCAGTGGGAAAGGGACTCAAGGCAAGATACCAGATCAGGACCAATAACATTGCAGATTCTAATATATAATCTTTCCACTTCACCCAAATACTAGTGAGTTGTTGTTGTTGTTTGAATCCCAGTGTATTAAAACTTGTTCATATCAGTAATGAATAATAGTGTCAGAACTCAAGAATTCAGTATGTCCTAGAAAACTCCAAACCAACCTCACAAAGCAGAAGAAGCTAAGTATTGCAATATGTCATTCTTCAAAGTCCTGAAATACAAAAACCTGAAAACAATCTGTGCAAAATGATATGACCAAAATATTCAGTAGTAAAGGGTTTGCCCACAACACCGAGAAGAGAGAAACCATTTTGTTAGAAAGAAAGGAGAGTAGTCCAACTCTTAAAATCCACATTCTTCTCCAAAAGGTATACACAGCATTACACTAGTGGTTTAAAAGAAAGTAATTTAAACTATCTGCTAAGTAAACTATAAAATAATAAAAGAAAACTATTTGGAGATAGTAGATGAAATAGGCTCTAGATCCTGAAATTAAGAATGACCAGCTCAAGCTGACTGGTAGCAGTTCTCATATCTAGACTCATTTCTTATACAGTATGCAACAGAAATTTTAATTGCTGCCAGTAGTGCTAGCAAACTTAGGTAAGTGGCCAATTTACTTCATTTAGCTAATCTAGTCTTTTTCAGATACCAACAGTTATTATTATCATGACTCTAACCAGTGCACACTGTGCGTTTGCTGTTGAAATGTCTAAGATTGGTGAATCTGTAATTGCAACACAAAGAACTTCTTGCACTCATTTTACATTACATCAAAATGATGTGTTCTGGATAGAAAATCATTACTTCTATGGGTTTGAACATTTCAGGGTCACAGGTTCAGCACTTAAAAGAAAGTCACCTAGATCTCAGTGCTCAACCTCCAGGCTTTAAAAATTGCCTACGATGGTGTATGGCGAACAGAGGATGCCATTTTTAAAACCAAATAAATAAAAATTGTAGCCCTTTGTTTAAAGAACAGTGAAATCATTTTTTAGTAGCATTTACCTTCATCTTTTTGTCAACCTTTAAAATGAGGAAGGTATTTCTACCTGTATAAGCAGGCTTGCCCTCTAACTAATAGCAGCCAATTTAATGTGTCATATTAGTCTGAAGCCAAGGCTTAATTTAGAATGAGGCCAGATGTCTGACAATTTTTGAGATTAATATTTAAATCACAATTAAATCAGGCTTGTGTATTCTAAAAAAAATTCTATGGTGGAGAAAAAAACAATTTACACAATGGCTCAACAGCCATATTCCTGCTTCCTGGTGAGACATTGAAGGAAATACAAACAATTCACATGATAGTACTCAGACCCAAAACATTATGAAGACAAGTGGTGAACATTCTTCATATGTTTAAACACAAGGTGAGTGAAGGGTTACTTGCACTGTAATCAAACTATGACCAGACATTGGATCATGCACAGATCTAACAATTTCTCATCTGACTGTTGGGGTGGGGGTTTTCAATTTCCAACATTGTCTTCATATCACTCAGTAACTTTACAATATTTTTTTCTCTTTTGATTTAGTCGTGGGTATGACTATAAACTGCATCTGACAGAAAGGCCTCTCATCAGGAGGTCTTGAGGAGCATGGAACCATCTCTTAATTGCTGTTGTTCCAGATCCACCCTGATCTGGAGTGGTAGCATTTGTTATGGTCCCAGCTATAGGCAAATAGTGACCCTCACCAAAAAAAAAAAAATCACTATGAAAGTATAAAAATACATTATGATAATAAAAATACCAGCAATACATATTTATTTACATTGTTGCCATATTCACATTTTAGCTGTTGTATGCTCTGGCCTTCGTCAGGTGATTGGAATTTTGAACTGAACCCTTTATTTTATCCACCAGGGTAGATTTTCTAGCTCCATGTTCCATGCCAATTCAGGATGTCTCAGTTATTTCCCTTTAACTCAACTCTCCAAAATTTTTGTTCACCACTGATGCTGACTTTCTGTACTAACAGGATGAAGGCTCAGCAATGGGCACACCATTACCACCAGCAATGACAAACATATACAGGACATACTTCAAAGAAATAGCATTAGAAGCCACATCACTAAAGCCAACCCTATGGCTGAGATACATAGATGACACCTTCATACTCTGGCCACACCAGGAAGAGGTCTGGCTACTACTGGATCATGCGAACTCAATAAGATCATTGGTACAGTTCACAATGGAGAAAGAAAACAACAACAAACTAGCATTCCTAGATGTCCTGATATCTCGAACAGAGCATGGGTTAAAGACATCCATATACAATACCTCAACTTCAACTTTCACCACACATACAGTGTAAAGAAAGGCATCATCCACTGCTTACAACATCGAGCAAAAGTCATAAGTGGTGACCCAGAGACATATGAACAAGAAATGGTCAGTATAAACAGTACTCTACAACGTAACAACTACCCTGGATACATGGCAACAGCTCTGACAAACTAAGATAAAAGCATACAAGAGGATAACATCACTCAGGGTAGGCAGATCAAAGCTGTTTTCTATGTGAAGGGATTATCAAAAAAATACAAAAGATCTGTGGTCCATATATCTCTCTTCACAGACACTTCATCCATAGAGGAAAACTAAAGGCTGTGTGTACACCATCCTATGCAGCTGTGGTAAGAAATATAAAGAAGAAATATGCCCCCCCCCCTTAAGATAAGACTGAAATAACATCATAAAGCTGTAACACAAGGGGAAATAGAAAAACCAGGCATAGCTGATCACATATGGAGGGAAAAGAGAGATCACCACCCACTTTGGGATGAGGTTGAAATAATAGACAGAATATCACTGGAAAATATGAAAACTTAAGGAATCAGCACATATACTAGGCCACAAAATTCTCCTAAGCCAACCAAGCATAGAAATAAATACAATATGGAAACCAGTAATATGGTGTGCTAGAGAAATGCAATAACAACAACAAAATTGCAATATGAGCTCTGGTAAAAAAAAACCGTTACTGAGGATTAAATTTGTAAGTCCCAACAATTCATATACTGATGACCACATGGCCCAGTGGATTGGTTGGATCCAGTGACTTGACCCAAAGAGTTGTGAGTTCAATACCTGGCTAATGCAGTGGTGAACAAAAACTTGGAGTTAAAGGGAGATAACTGAAACATCCGGAAGTGGCATGGCTAATAGAACTAGAACAGTCTACCTTACAGTGTATATTTCTAATAAAAACGTATATAACATGAAATTCACACAATATATTTGTCTTATCAATATAAATGCACTTTGAAAATGTTACCAACATGAATTAGTTATTGCCAATTTTATTGCATAACAAAATCTTACAGTGCATGCGTGCAATGTTTTTTAAAGAAATAAGAATTTATGGCTTGGATAAATAATTTGTAAATACTTTTTTATATTTATTTACATCAGGACTATTGTGCTCATCTTCATTGTTATCACGTTTTGGCTTCATCACGTGTATATCAGTCTGGAGAATTCTGAACTGAACCCCTTACTTAATCTACAGAGGTAGACTGTTCTCGTTCCACTGCCCATGTTTAGGGATATCTTATCTAATTCTTATTTTTAGTAATGCTCAATTATTGCTTGCCTGTTTCCACTGTGTTCAAGTGAACACTACCCGGACCAGGGATTGAACTCACAATGACTACGTCACCAAACTCACAAACCAATGCTTTAATTCACTAGGCTACTGTCCTGTAGGATAATTTTCTGTGAAGGCCAGCAGGTAAAATGGCCGAAATGTTGTGATAACAACAACAAAGATGAGGACAATAGTCCGAATGTAAATAGTGTAAATAATAACTCCTCATTCTAGAAACCTTTCATACTTTTTGTTCTTGAAAAATTTAAGAGCTATATACATAAAGATTAAAATTTCCTTGTATATCAACTGAGAAGTGATACAAAAAAAAGAAATGAAATTACCACTATTAATATACTGCCTATAAAATTAAACATGAAACTTTTTTTTGTTACTTTTCACCAAAAGATAATATCCATAATTTTAAAGTATGAAAGCCTAAAATGAAAAAAAGAAAGTTACATTTTCTTTTTAAAGTAGAAACTCAATTCATAGTGTTTGTATGGGGATCAGATTTTAACAGCAATTTGATCTTGGGGAATCAAAACATTTCCAACTTTCTCCTGAATAATCAGTGTGGTATATCTTTTCACTAAGGTTCCAGATCAGTAAGTTACTAGACTTTTACAACTTTTTATGAAGAAGAGGCTAATGCTGTCAAAAGTTTTGAATAAGAAAATAATTAACAATATGGAATTGATATTTCACATTTCTTTATTAGACTCTTCCAAATCTTCAGGCTACAAGATTGTAATTTTCATTGTGAGGACAAATGATAAAAAACAATATTTTGGGGTATTTTGAAAGAAATGCAAAATTAGAATTTTAGAGGGAGGTTAACATTAAAAGTAATGGTTTCCCTGGACTAGTGATATGAAGGTGAAAGAAAGAAATTCCATCTATTAGTCACTTCAGGGCAGCTTCTGAGAAATGATTTGGTGGTTTTTACTCTGGTAGTGAATTGAACAGCAATTCAAGACAATCCATAAATAGTGCTCAAGGTAGTGAATGCAATGGTTGTCCTACCCTGGCTGATGTTTTACAAACATCCAACATTGATAGTTAATGGAAACCTTAATGGTAGAGGCGATTTATTTTGATAGAATCCTGTCAAAAAAGAATGAAGAAAAAGTTGCTCAATTGTTAGGTGAAGAGAAAAAGCTACTTACCGCATGGACATCTAACATATCTACATTCAAGTCATAGGTATTAATTCCCAGACTATCAAATACCTGCAAAGAAAGAAAATCAATAAGAATTTTTGAATAAATCTGAAAATTTATTTCATGATCAGGTTTATTCTCAACCAAGCAGAGAAACTAGAAAATAAAACAAAACTAATGAGCATTAAGTTTCTTTGTAGTATTTGAAAGATGTTTAGATTAATATTAGATTTGTTTTCTTTCAAAATTATTTTTAGCACATAATAAAGTTCTTTTGACAAAACACAGAAAGGTAAAACCTTTTTAACCTAGCCACTTATGAAAAATGACAGCATAAACAAGATTTTATTTTTATAAATAATTTTTTTTTCTTAAATTAAAATTTAAAGTATTTTTCTTTCATTTCTAAACCAATGCTCATAAACAAATTTAATTCTTTTAAAAAATGCTTCATTATATATTATCAACATTATAATTCTCATAAGACTACAGGGAGAATTGCTTTAATAATAATGCATTTCTTCAAACTAGTACTACTGATCTCTGCTCTACCCACTAAACCATACCTGCAAGCACATCTTTAAAGACTTCTTTTTTTTTTTTACTATGTTCTAATTATTGTTGCTCTCACAGATCTATTAATGTTTATTATGTCCAGATTAAGAAATGTCACCCTTCCCAAAAAAATCTACAATAACCAAATTTAATAGGTGTCCTTTTTTTTTATAATTCAAAATTTATAATGAACACCTAATTTGTATATTTGCAATTGCTACAGATTTAAAATATCCAAAATCTAGATAAAAATTCCTCACCAACTAAGTTTATATATTACCTGATAAAAAAATCTTTAGCAGAACAAATAACTTCCACTTGTGCAAAATATTTAAATACAAAACTGCCATCATCTTTCAAAGCAACATTTCAAGAAGCAGGTTTTAAGGTTTGGGTATAAATGGATAACATATACAGGCAGAGACCATGGTAGTAACACTAGTTGAGGGACAGAGACAAAATTATACTCAAGACTAAAGGCAAAAACATTACGGACTATTTTTTTTTTTCTTTTTACACAGATAATTCTAAGGTTCATATAAAATGTCAGGTAATAAATCTCAAGTGGGGTGACCTGGATCTGTGAGGTGGAGCAGGGTCCCTTTATCATCTTTCTTACATTGTATCATCATCAATAACATTTTTTTCTCTTGTTTTACTTCAGCTGCTGAACAATAAATTCATCTGATTTTATGCCTGATTTAACTAAAAATTAAACTCAGAAATCCTCTTAAGTTTCTCAACCTTAAAAATGTTGAAAAAATACTTCAAAGTCAAAATGTATTTTGTTTTCTTTTTTTCTCTCCAAGCATTAATGTTTTATGAGTTATCTGAAATAGACATAAGGGTAATAATGTTTGGGTGAAATAAATATCCTGGTGAAAACTTCTTTTTAACTGCTTTCATATTATGATTAAAATTCATATTTTTAAACACATTAAAATTAGTCTTAAGTTATTTAAATTACAAAATAAAGTATTTTCATCAGTTTGTTTTTTTTAATGAGGTTTTTTTCATTCCAATTTCAAATAGAGTAAAAATGGTATTGAAAATGCCATGGTGACTGCTCTTCTCCCATTTCAGGACATGATTTACTGATACTGATGTCATTTATTTGGTGTAATTTCCAAAAATAGACAATGCAATTAATTTTAATATACAGCATCAGTAAAGGTAATTTTTCATGTTATTTTCTTAGACACAAGGTATATAATTATATTTTTTTTTAATTTTGCATTAAAATAAAAGATGTTCAAATTACCAAAAAACAAAAGCAAAGAAAATGAGAAAATGACCAAATCACCCCACTCGCCCTTTTCATGTTTCTAGTCAACCTATGTGCATAAATGGAAAGATTTGACTTACGGACAAGGAAGCCAATGCCTGCAAGGAATTAAATGACAAGCCAAAAAATGAATAAAATCCTCAAAAATAATTTCATAATTTCAAAATTAATTTCAAACTGGTAAAATAGATTTCAATTATCACAGTGTCATTATTTCTATAATAACAAAAGACTCGGAACATATAATAAAATAAATAGTTAAAAGAAGCCTATGAGATTTGAATCCACAGACAAAGAGTTTATATTTCAGTAAAAAATATCAGAAAATCTTTCAATTACGACAACAAAACTGAAACCAGATAACTTCTACATTATTGTTTATAACAATAAAAGTTTTCGTATTCATTAAAAATTACAAGAAACATTTTTTTTTTTTGTTGTATTATTTTTAACATGGATCAGCAAAACAAAACTATTATAGCATATAAAAAAGTTGAAGTAAACAAGGAATATTATTTAGTGAATAAAAAATTATTTTTTCACTGCTTTTTTTTAAAAAAAAAAAAAAAAAAAAAGCTCATAAAAATTGTTTAAAATTTTCAGATGAGTTTTTAGTATGAAATAATTTTAATAGGATTATTGTTCTCATTTCTTCTGTCATTAATCAGATACAGGCTCTCAAGAAAAATAATTCTGAGTGAAGAGGAGGATGTGCTTTCCTTAGAAAGGGAAAATAAAGTCTTGTTTAACTATGAAATTCTTCATGGCTGAACAGTAAAACACATCAGATCAAATGGTGGTTTCCCTGAGAAAGGGGGATGCATGTTCAATCTCTGCTGGAGAATACATTTTCTTTATTAAGATTTCTTAAATGTGTAGGCCAATTGATGTAATATACACCTTTTGATATATAGAAATGGGGCGTCTATTTGAAATATGAAATGTCCACTATAATAACATTTGAAGTCATAAAAATGTCAGATTAAAAATAATTAATTCTTCAGAGACATATGGCAAAGTGGGAATAGTTTTTGTGTGGTGCTTTTAGTCCTTTATGATGTCATTAGAACAAATTTATGTTTATATGACTACACAAGAATTTTAAATTTAAAGATGATTTTTTTTTTATATGTGTTTTGGGCATATAACCTAACAGATTTTATTTAAATTATTTTTTCTTTTTGTTTCACTTAATCTTATTATTAAATATCCCACATTATTGATATTATACTTTTTTTATCTTTTAATATTACTGATATTATTATATAACTTTATGCATATTAATAATATTGCATCCAGTTAAACACTATTATAATTATTATACAAGCAGTTGGTGTAAATAATTGGAAAGAGGGAATTGCAAGAACATAACATGATGGCTGTTGGTAGAAGAATTTTCAAGAATTAATTTAATTATTTGTATTTGACAAGAATTGCAAGAAGACGAAAATCATGGAAGTTGCTTATCTAAAATTAGAAAATGGTTTTACAATAATCCCCACACAAGCTTGCATTCTACTTATAAAGTTTGGTCAATACTTATATAAAACCGAGACAGTAGTAGTAAGGTATTGTTTGCTGGCACATCAATCTTATGGAGACAAATGGATTTAAGGGAGCAAGAAAGAGGCTAAAGTTAAATATAGTTCATGTGACATTATTCTCTTGAGATTAACAATATGCAGATAATTAGTTTTTCGAAAAAAATCACATCTGTCGTCAGCTTTCAACTTTCTATCTACGCAGACAACAGTACCATTTATTCCTGCCTCACTAGTAAGGCTGATAAGTCAGATAAGGTCAAAATGGCAGCTGATGTACAAAATGACCTCAAGACCATCAGTAACTGGGGAAAAAGATGGCTTATCAATTTTAATGCCTCTAAAACTAAACTACTCTCCATTAATCTTCTGAGAGATTCCTCCCTGCCTTCTATCAACGGCAGATGCTATCCACCAGGAAAGTGACTCACTGCACCTTCTTGGGCTAACATTCCCAGCTGATATTAGGTAGAAAGACTACATTGAATCCATTGCTAGATCAGCTGCTAAGAAAATCTGTTCACTGTGTCAGGTGAAACAACTTTCTCACCAGAATCTATCTTGCATATCTATAAGTCTTCTATTCACCCATGCTTAGAATATTGATGTCATATATGGTCCAGTGCCCCTGCTATTTTCCTAGAGCTCATTGATAAGATCCAAAGAAGAATCAGCAATATTATTAGTCTTGATTTGATCAGTTACTTGCCCACCACCGTAAGATTACCTCTGTGCCTATTTTATAAATACTTTCATGGTAATTGTTTGGATGAGTTCTTCACTATGGTACCTAGACTTTTTGAATTTAAGTGCAGTACTAGACTAGTGGTGAGATCTCATCAAGTTACAGATGTAGCCATAATTTCTATGCTAACAGATTTTTATCTCACTTGTGGAACTCCCTCTCGGCTCCAACCAACTTTAATCTGCAAAAATTTTAATGTATTGTCAATCGCTATCGTTGGGGATGCACAGAATGAACTAAGATTTTTGCTATGGTGTTAGAATATATCAGAAGGAATTTTTGTCAGGTTGCGTGATCTTCTCTTGCATCCACAACAATAAATAATACTTAATATAAAACAAGGCAAAACATGTATGCAATTCAAACAAACAAATGCATTTATATACAATACAAATATTATATACAAAATATTATTACAAGATATTATTGTGTTGTTATGTTTGTTAGTGGATGAAGATTCTGTTTGTTTTTTTGGTGTATTTGTATTACAGTCTATAAGAATTCGTAATTGGTGTTTAAACACCGTTATTATGTCCGTGCTGTTCTTTTTGTATTGTTTAGAATTGAGTCATTCAGAAGTAGTTTACCCTTAACTGTAAGTATGAAATATGTTCAATAATAGTATTTACTTAAATTGTAGTTAGCATTAATAATTCACTTTGGATAAGTAAAGTCTTGCGAGTTGAAGTTCTTTGTATTCACAGAGTAATCTTCGAGTTTGTGGGTGAGTCAGTTGTGTTTTTTTTTTTTGCACGGGAAAATTATAATCACAAATTACATGGATTAGATTAGCACTTCTCTGTGTTCGCTGGACTGACTGATTTGGTCAGTTGGAAATCTTCCTTATATAAAGGTTTTAGATGTCAGGATCGGCTCAAATAAGTTTTGGCGCAGTTTAACTTCCTCACGTGAAGTTTTTGAATTATCACATTGCAAGCCAATA